TTGCTGTGACTCTTCTCTCTCAGTTACATATGAAATCCAATGATGGATTACATATCCGATATCGCTTTGACAGAAGCATATTTAATGCCTGACATCTCAAAGCTAAGACTCTGACCCCTACTATTCCTGTCTTTGAACTGCAATATGCTGACGATACTGCCATAGTTTCTCAAGGGACACTCATTACAAGAGACTCATTGCATCAGGCTTATTCTCACCTTGACCTTGATATCAACCCAAATAAAACAGAGGTCATTCAAACGGCTCAGCTGCACATTGACAACGTTTTGTTGTATAATGTTAACTCATTCATCTACCTCGGCAATGTCACATCCGATAATGGACACATTGATGAAGACATTCTCTGGTAAATAAATCTTGCCTCTACTTCCTTCGGACGTCTCCGCCTCCGGATCTTCTCTAATAAAAAAACCTCTGATTCGTCACCAGGGTCGCTGTCTATTGAGCTGTAGTTGTTTCAACACTGCTCTACGGCTGTGAATGCTGGACCCTGTATTGCCGACAAATAAAACTACTTGAGACATTCCATATCCGTTGCCTTCAGCGAATCTTGTGCATTACATGAAGGGATAAAAGAAACTGTTTTGGGACTACCTTAAGCATGTTCTTGTCTCCTGCAATATTGACCCAACACAACTGGAGAAACTTACAGGGGATAGGGTCAGTTGGTGGTCTCTCTGAGTCACTGGAGTGGTGCACTTTGAGGTGAGAAGCACTCAAGGCGGGGACGATGCCAGCGTCATCTACAGCCTGCCGATTCCGCACCAGGCATGTTTCCCTGCCACTTGTGCCAGAGAGATTGTTAATTGTGGATCGGGCTGTTGTCTCATTTGGCAGCCCACAGAAGACGGACAGAGAATGATGGACAGTGACGTCGCCAGCAATGATGGACAGTCAAGATCATTTCAGATTTTTCATTCGACCAATTATTTTGCAGGGCCGATTTTCAGCTTCAAGCTGCTTAAAGCTGAATATCTTCTGCTACATGACACATACAAAAATGTAATAACTTATTTTCCAATCATCAAAATCCACAGACACTACTGATAAAAGCGTACTGCTAAACAATCTTAATTTCACTTATATTATTTTCATTATTCGGACTGTTATCCTTATCTAAATTGCCATATTCACAACATTTTGGCCATTGTATGCTCCAATCTTATTCAGGTAATTGGAATTTTGAACCAAACCCTTTATTTAACCCACTCCCCTTTATCTAGTTCCACGTGTCATGACTCTTCCGGATGTCTCACTTATTTCCCTTTAACTCTTAAATTTTGGTTCACCACTGCTTTGGCCTGGTATTGAACTTTTTGGGTCTTCACTGGATCTAACCAACGTCTTTATTCACTGTGCCATGTGTCCTTGAGGATGAGGATAACAGTCTGAATAATGTAAATAATATAATGTAATAATAATGTAAATAATAATACAAGTAATCATAATACCTCATCTCAGAGATATAGACAAAAATATTTTCTTAACAAAATAAAGGTGTATTTTATGATTTTATGTAGGTGATCCAAAACTTTTGCATGCCAGTTTACTGGTGTGTAAAAGCTTTGGATAAACTATATATATATATCACTTGATATATCACCATAGTCTCACCAGTGCCCAGCTCATCCTGGGTATGATGATAAACTACATCCATGTCCTGGGTCATACGATAAGCTATATCCAACAGCGAGGCCTCTGATCAGGAGGTTTTGAGGAGCGTGGGACCACCTCTTAATTGCAGACCAAGGTCCACGCTGACCCGGAGTGGTAGCACCTGTTAGGGCCCAAACTATGGGAAAATAGTTAACCCCCAAAATGGGTTCAAAACACTATGAAAGTGTAAAAATAGGTTTTAGTACCAGCAATACATTTTTGTAAAAAAATATTACCAGTAATGAATATTTGAAGAAAAAATTATTACCAACAATCAAAAAAAAATATTACCACTAAACATTTTTGAAAAAAAATATTACTAGAAATACTTTTTAAAAAAAAATATATTACAAGCAATAAAAATCTTGTCGGCATTAAATAACCCATTAAGGTTGATATATCGTAAAACAAACCAAACAAATCAAACCAGTGCCCAGCATAAACATAACTTTTAAACCTGAGATCCGAACTTTCTGTCACATGGTACACCATTTTACCTTAAGTACAAAGATCTTCCCATGATTATGATACACACATTGATAAACACACAGACAGCAGAACCCCATTATCCACAGTAGATATGTTCATTATAGATGGTGAAATAAAAGGGTAATTGAAAATAGTTTTTATGCATGTACAAAAATATTCACTATATTCCTTAATTCAGATTAATAATAATAATTTTTGAAACTATACTTCAAAACATTATTATTATTTATATAGTTATTTTCCAAGTGTAGCTTAGATGTAGCATCTAGTGAGGATAGAACTGACTTTTCAGTTGTAACTGATCTAGCGAGACAAGCTTGCTAACCATTACACCACGCCGAGGTGCCCTATTCATTTTCTAAGCGTAGCTTAGATGTGGCACATGGCCGAAAGTATGGGGCACCCAGTGAGGATCGAACTCACTAAACAGTTGTAACAGTTTCAGCAAGACCAGCTTGCTAACCATTACACCACGCCGAGGAGCCCATTATTATTTTTTATATATCTTTTCTTATGTTTTACTTCTGTGAAATATATTTTGCAAAATAGTTTATGCTTAATAAAAGTTTTGAACAAGAAAATTTTAATTGAACTAATGTTTGCTAAATGAAACCATCATTGACAATCTGTCTAAAATTTGGACCACACTTTGTTTACAAATTGTGCATAATTCCTTGTGACCCAAATTTTGATTTTTCGCTTCTTATATCGTTCCTTTTCTTACCAATTTACCGTTTTTAGTACTTTATGATTCACTTTTTTCTTGCCCATCGTTTCTTTGTCGGCTTACAAGCACATCATGATGAAACACTATTTCCCGTATGATCATCAAAATTAAGCAATGCTGAGCCTAGCCAGTACCTATATTGGTAACTGCATGGGAATAACAGACGCTGTAAGCTTGTATGTGCAGTTGGTGTAATGGATAATGTCTCTGAATTGTTAATCAGAGAACCAAGTTCCAATTGGGTTTGTTATATTCTCTTATGCCAAAATACCCTTGGGAAAGATATGAATCCACCTTTTCTCTCCCTCAGCTATGGGTTAATTAATAAGACTTGTATCATCAAATCATTATTATTTGAAAACAATTCTTACACTCTAAAAATATTTTCTGGTTAAAATAACATGTAAATGGTTGATAAATAACATGGCTGATAAATCATAGAAAACATAACATATAATCGATCATTTTTTGTCTTCTGCTGTTTTTCTGTCTTTTATAATTCACTAAGTCTTTTCTTATATTGAATGTCTATATATTTTTTCTTTTTTTTTTTATATCATTCTTCTTTCTCCTTTTTTCTTTCCTGACATCGTTCTTTACTTTCTCCTTTTTTCTTATTTCATTCTCCTTTTTCTTTTCTTATATCATTCCTCTTTTTTCTTATATTGTTCTTCTCTTTCCCTTTTTCTCATTCTTTTTTTTCTTATATTGTTCCTCTATTTTCATTTCTCATATCGTTCTTCACTTTCTTCTTTTCTTTTCACATATTGTATTTTTCTTTCTTCTTTTCTCCTATCATTCTTTTTACACATATCCTTCCTCTCCTTTTTCTTTTCTTATATCATTCTTCTTTTTTCTTTTTTTATATCGTTCTTCTCTTTCTTTTCTTATATCACTCCACTTTTTCTTTTTTCTTACACCGTTCTTTTCTTTCTTCTTTTTCCTTTTCTCATATTGTCCCTCTCTTTTTCTTTTCTCGTATTGTTCTTCTCTCTTTTTTCTCTCATACTCTTTTCTTTTTCCTATATCCTTCTCTTTTTTTCTTTTATTTCCATTGTTCTCCTCTTTCTTTTCTTATGTCGTTCTTCTATTCTTCTCTTGCAGTTTTTTCTTCCTTTTGCCTTTATTCCTATTCCACCATTTGCTTTCTCTATATCCTCTTTATTCTGGCTATTCTCTTTTCATTATTCAGCCATCATAGCTGTCTTTTATAAACATTTATGATAAATAAACATTTATGATAAATAATCATGAACCTCTACCTTGTGATTCTTAAAATAACATCAGTTGTTTGATGATACTGAAAAAATAGATTTGGTCACTTATTTATAGGCAAAATTACAATATATTTATTTTCTCTAGAAGCCTTTTATCTTTTTCATATGTTATTAAGAAATAGTTTAAGGACATCAATAAATCATTACTCTGTATTTTTCTTCTTAATATAGCTTTGGTAAAAACGTTATGGTTTAGAGCATTCTTCCCCTAACCCACTGCCCTGACTAAAATTAGTATTTTGGTGACACAAATTTTTGCAGGGTTTCTATGAATCCAAGAAAGTTTTGTCAACTTTGGAATAAATTTGTTCTAATTTACAATCATTGCTTTCATTTTGATCTTTTCATTCATATTTCTTTCTTTCAATTCTTTTCTTCTTCTTTTCTTCCTTGTTTATAAATTCTCTTTCTTTTCAAGTCTCTTTCTCTTTTTCAGTCTGCATTTATCTTCTGTGTTTTCAGTTTTTGTTTTTCTAAACTTCTTTTTATCTTAGCAAAAATCAATTTTTTGTTTTCTGAGGCTTTCCTTCTTTTAATCTTGTATTCTATTCTTTCTTCTCTTCTTTCATGCTTTTCTACTATTTCTTTCCTTCATGTCTTCCTAAACTTCATTTTTTATACGTCCTCCTACATGTCCTTTCTTTCTTTTATATTGCCTTCCATTTTCTTTCATGTCTTCCAACACATGCTTTCCTTCTTTCATGTATTTCTATACTTTCATTCTTTCATCTTACATTTTCTTTCTTTTATGTATTTCTATACATGTTTTCCTTCTTTCATGTCTTCCTACATGTTCTTACTTCTTCACTTTCCTTCTTTTGTTTTCCTACATGTTCTTTTTTTATATTTTCTTCCATTTTCTTTCTTTCTTTCTTTTCGTGCCTTCTTCCATTTTCTTTCTTTCTTTCTTTTCGTGCCTTCTTCCACTTTCTTTCTTTTCGTGCCTTCTTCCACTTTCTTTCTTTCTTTTCGGGCCTTCTTCCACTTTCTTTCTTTCTTTTGTGCCTTCTTCCACTTTCTTTCTTTCTTTCTTTTTTTCTTTCTTCCATTTTCTTTCTTTTCGTGCCTTCTTCCATTTTTCTTTCTTTCTTTCTTTCTTTTCGTGCCTTCTTCCATTTTCTTTCTTTCTTTTCTTTCTTTTCGTGCCTTCTTCCATTTTCTTTCTTTCTTTTTTCTTTTCGTTTCTTCCATTTTTTTTCTTTTCGTGCCTTCTTCCATTTTCTTTCTTTCTTTTCGTGCCTTCTTCCATTTTCTTTCTTTCTTTCTTTCTTTTCGTGCCTTCTTCCATTTTCTTTCTTTCTTTTCGTGCCTTCTTCCATTTTCTTTCTTTCTTGTTTTCCTATACTTTTTTCTTTCTTTTACATCTTTTTATATTTTCTTTCTTTTGCTGGTGATATTTTTATTATGCAGATAATAAATAAGAATAAAGTCTAAAACATTTTTGAAAAAAGGACCACATTTTGACTTCTCCATTTTTTTTTTTAAATGTTCCTTCATATAACTTTTCTGTTAGATGAACTCTGACATAACTTGCATTTTGATCCATTTTCTTATCTTCTTTATTCTTTCCAATATCTGGGTTTTACAGAAAAGGAACATGGTCAATAATTAATAAATGTAGTGATGATTAATCTTTGTTAATTACTTCAGCCTTCAACCTCAAGCAACTTCCTTATTGAACCACAGTCGAGAAAATAAAATCCGTAAATATCAACTTGTTTGCATTATTATTTCGATATTTTCTGCTTTTATAACATCTCATCTCTCATCGGATAGCTTCTTCCCAAGAATTGTGAAACAGACTCCCAAGGGAATACTTTCCCAATCATTATAATCTTAACCTCTTCAAGTTCTTATAAACTGCACTTCTTACCTCATCCTTTTTATTTTATATATAATTCATGCACATAGAGATGAACATATGATGAATAAAGAAAATAATATTAATATTAGACATATTAGGTTGGTGCAAAAATAATGACGTAATAATGTCGTTTTTAACGTTAAAAAATACTTAAAAAATGACATTATTACGTCATTATTTTTGCACCAACCTAATATTTTAGTAGATAATGCTAAAATTTTATATAAGACAGTGCAAAGAAAAACTCCAAAATTTGGAGGCTGTTGTAATAAAAGAGAAGCAGCCAATATTAGATAAGGTGTTTTTCTCTATAGGGGGATCGTATATTAAAGTGGGTTTAATATAAGAAGGAAGCACGGTGAAGTAATGGCTAGCAGCTTGGACTGAGAAACCGGAGAGTCAAGTTCAAATTCCAGTCAAATCCATTACATTCATTTACATGCTAATACTCTTAGGAAAGGTATGAATCCTCTTCTTCCTCAAATATGGGTAAATAGCAGTACAGACCAGGTTCTATAGCCTTGGATGGAAACTGGTCTACCGCAGAAAAAATCTGCCTTGTCAGTCATGTATTGAAAGATACATTATTGCCTAAGAATGTATCATGCATGGCACATAACTGACTTAAGAGGAGGCATGGTGGAGTAATGGATAGAATCAGGTGACGAGTTTGAATTCCAGTCAAATCCATTACATTCACTTACGTGCTAATACACTTGGGAAAGGTATGACTTTTCTTCTTCTCTCCCAGCTATGGGTAAATAGCAGGACAGACTGGGTTCTATAGCCTTGGATGGCAACTGGTCTACCACAGAATGAAATGGCAACCTACTGCAGGAAAAAATCTGCCTCATCAGTCATGTATCAAAAGATACATGATAGCCTCAGTGGGTATCAAACATAGCACATAACTAACTGAATTAATATAAGAAAACAAGACACACACAAAAATTTCAGTTTGACCGTTTATATGGCATCACGTTTAGTGGTTTGAAATTGGTTCCATCAAACCTGAGAACACTGGAATTCAAAAAACACTTGCATCCTTGAAAATAAATGTTGTGAGATTCAAAAGTACTTAAGAGAAAAAATAATATAAAATAAAAGTTATCAGTAAATTTGCCAAAATTTATATTAACACAAAACTACTTATTCAGATATTTAAAAGATTTAAGAAAAAAATTTGATAGACAGAACTTGTCCATATTATTTAACAAAACACATTTGAGAGAATTCTTGCTACTGAAATACACCTCGTGTCTGTATGTGCACACACACACACACACACACACATTATATATATATATATATATATATATATATATATATATAGTACTGAAAGAGTATATGCTTAATCAAGAAAGGATTCAGCATTCTAATGCTTGGTTAGACCTTGAGAAGTAGGTAATGCCAAATACCCTCTTATACTTATCAATATCATTTAGTGAATAGAAGATCAAAAGGTAATAAACTTAAAATATAATCCAATAAGGAGAAAAAAAATTCATAAAAAATGTAAAACCTTGAAATGAAAAAAATTCAAGACTGCAATAAAAGATTCTGCAGAAGCAGATAAAAAGTTTAATACTTGGCATTAATGATATCTTATGTGCCATGTCCTTTCAGGATGTGGATGATCATGGCTCTCCACAACTTGTGACTTGTAGCTGTAACTTTTGACTCTTTACTGTCTTTATTTCTGCTCTGCCATCAGTCATACAATTTCATTAAATAGGTTACTTGCTGTTTCTGTTTCACTTGCCTTCAATATGTACTGTGTGTGTGTGTGAAATTCTTCAGGTCTTTCTGATTGTAAGTATAGGTGTCCTTGTAGTTCCTATTTTCCTTAAAACTTTCTCATTGCTGACATGGTATTCTAAAGCTACATCTGTTGCTTTATCTTAATCTTTTGTGAAATTACCCAGCACTCATTGTATATTGAAGTGAGTTTAATATAAAACACAAAAATTAAAGTTTGACCATTTATATGACATCACCTTGAGTGACTTGAAATTGATTCCATCAAATGTGACAATGCCAGAATTAAAAAAAAAAAAAAAAAAAAAAAGTTGTGTAACTACACACAGAAGACTCTTTGAAAACAAATGAAGCAGCATTCAAAAGTATTTGGGGGGGAGGAAAGTAATATAAAATAAAAGTTAATACGAATTTTAGAAAATTTACTGATGAAACAAGTAATTCAGAAATTTGAAAAACTTAAAAGAATTGATTAACAGAGCTTGTCCATTTATTTAACAAAATGGTTGAAAGAATGCTTACTGCCAAAACACACACACTTTATATATTACTGAAAGGCTTAATCAATAAAGGATTCAGCATTCTAATGTTTTGTTAGACCTTGAAAAGTAGGTAACACCAAGTACCCTCTTATACTCATAAATATCACATATACATATTATATGTCTGACACTCAACTTCTCGAGAGCAACTCTCTGCGGCTTCTCGGTCTCACGTTGACTGCTGATCTGAGATGGAATAAATACATTGAGTCAATTGCCTCGGCCACTGCGAGGAAAGTTGGCTCCCTGAGCCACGCTAGGAAGTTTTTCTCCCCTGAGTCGATCCTCCAGATATACAAATCCACAATTCGCCCTTGCATGGAGTATTGCTGCCATATATGATCTGGCGCCCCTTCTGCTTGCCTCGGGGTTCTTGATAGGCTCCAGAGGCAGATATGCAATATGGTTGGCCCTGCCCTGGCGTCTCGTCTACAGTCACTTTCTCACAGATGTGCCGTCGCCTCCCTCTGTCTGTTCTACAAATACTTTCATGGAAATTGCTCCGAGGAGCTGCATTTGCTGGTTCCCAGATGTCATGAGTTCCAGTGCCCTACGAGGCTGGCATCCTGCTCTCAACCCCTCACTGTTGAAACTCCTAAATGTAGCCGTCTATTCTACTCTAATAGCTTCATGTCTCGCACCTCTCGCCTGTGGAACTCCCTTCCCTTCTCCTGTTTCCCTGTGAGCTATAATCTCCAGCTATTTAAGTGTAATGTCAATCGACATCTCCAGTTGCCTTGATCTATCCTCTACCCTCATCCTTTCTTCTATCACTCCTATCTGATCTTGCTATTTTCTGTAACCCCTTGCGTCCTAGAGGCTTCCCGCCTTGCTTGGCGTGAAACACTTAAATATATTACTTATCAATATCATTTAGTGAGTAGAAGATCAAAAGATAATAAACTTAAACTATAATTCAATAAGGAGAAAAAAAAAATTATTTGTTCCACTACTTTTTGCTATCTTTGAGAAAGCTTCATAACTCCATCCTCCCAGAATTTGGCATATTATCTGGGTGATGATATGATCTCAGTGGTTTTTACAAGCTGCTATAGATTTTAAATTTTACCTATTAAAGCAATTTTTTAAGGCTCAAAATAAATGGTAATCAAAAGGTGCAAGGCCAGGTGCAGTAAGTGATCCTAGCCAAGCTGTATCAATTTCTGCTGGGTCTACAAAGACATGTTGAGATCTGGCATTGCCCTGATGGGAGATAACAACCTCTTGATTGGCCAAATCCTACTGTTTAACCCATAGCTGTAGAAGTTGATGGAATAATACCTTCCCCAAGGGTATTTTTTTCAATGTAATGAATTCGAACTTGCTTCTCTAATTTTTTATACCATGACATTAGCCATTATGCCACACATACATAGACTCTAAAAAAAAAAAAAAAAAAAAAAATGTGAAGAAGGAAAAAAAATGAAGAAAGATGGGAAAGAAAGAAATAATAACTACATCTTGTTATATGTAAATTAAAAATTAATTCTATATATTTATATATATATATATATAATGGACTCTCTCGTCGGTTTCAACGTATGAGGATCTGAGAGCTTATTGATTCAGTTATGAAAGTTACTATATATATATATATATATATATATAGTAATCCATTTGTATATAATCCAAGTGAATTCTATTGACACAATATAAAATATTAAAACTGATTCATACATAGAGCTCAATGTTTTATAATAAACAGAGCAATATATTTCATACAATCGAAATTAAGATACCATTAAGGAAATGATGATTTTCACCTTGTAAAATTAAATTTACAGGATTTTTCAAACAGTCAATGGATGATAAATTTAAAAAAAAAAAAAAAAATCATCCATTGACAGTTGCATCTAGGAATTTCAACAGTAAAGTGTTAAGACATATCTTACAATCTAGTACTATGCTTAAATTTATAAAGTTATAGTACCAAAGAAGAAAGGTCATCAGAGCAATTACTATGAACATATTTATAGAAAAAGCTCTTAATAAATTTTGCCTTTTTGTTATCTCTCCTAAACTCTATCCTACCCTTCATTTACACAAGTTTGTAAGGTAGGTTATGCATTGTTTTCCTCCGTCCATCTTGCCATCAATCTCTTTGTGATTTTTTCAGATAAGATCTGATAATTAATGGATTGATAGTGAGCCACAATCAGCAGTTTGAGATATGATACAATTTTCCTTTGACTCTAAGTGTTTGTCACTTTTTGGATTATTCTTCTTATTCCTAAGAGGCTTCCTTTCTGCAACAGTTCCACTGAGCATCCAATGCCAATCTCTTAATCCATGTTTCTATTCTTATCAGTCACTGCAGTAGGTATGCACCAATGACAATTGGTATGATTATGACCATGTTCAACTTCCAAAGTCTGATGAGTTCAAATTTCAATCAGTCATAATTGGTTTACTTATTCTTCTTCCTGTTGCTCTGTCTTTGTATCAAAAGGACACAATGGATCAATGAATAACCCTTCTTTTTTCAATTTTATCTTCCACCAACATACCTGGTTTAATGTGCTCCAGCTTCTTATTTATGTTAATCATTTCACTCCAAGTAAGGCAATAAAGCCCCTAAGACACAAGGGAGAGAGTACCAGGCATGAAAGAATATAAGAAAAAAAACATTATTAAAGAAAGAGAATAAAAAAACTGCAATTAAGAAAACTGAAGATAACTCTTATACCCACGAACACTAATGAATATGTCCCCAATCCTCATAAGTACTTTGGACAATATCATAAGTGAGGGTACTATGCTGTCTAAGTAGTCCACCACTAGCAGTGGTTTACCTGCTACACACGGCTGGCGAGTATTGTATTTTGTTAATGTTATAAAGATTACTATTTCATTTCCAACCCAAAAAACAGGAAATATGAAAACTGAAAACAACAATTGATAATTTATTTAAATTTTTAGGAGATCAAAGTTGACTGGAAAGCAAGAAGAAAGTTCTGCAAGTAAAAAGTGCGAGGGAAGAAACTGTTGGCATAGAATGCTGGGAAAACTGACTGAAGCCAAGATGCCAGATCAGGACCAATGACATTGCATATTCTTTTGATTTTGTCAAGAATCTGCAAAATCTAACAAAAGCATGTCACTCACACTTTTTACACTGATCAGCACCATGTTACACATGGATATTAAGGAGTGAATTTTTGAGGGAAAGGATAAAAAGTGGTACAAGAAAATAAACAGAGAAGAGAAAAACAGAAAAATATTAAAAAAATTTCCCAATGTGAGGTTTGGCAAATAAACAGCATTTATTTATGAAGCCAAGGATTCTTGTGAAAGGCAGTAAAATATTGAAAAAGATTTTCTGTAAAATCTATAAATCTGTGTGTGTGTGTGTGTGTGTGTGTGTGTTTTGCCAAGTCTGACACCACGGAAACCAATTTTGCATGCACCCCCTCCCCACAACTTTATTCCCGGTTTTGAACTGATTGGACACTAACTCTCGTAATGACATTTTAATCCTTCCAAAGCCAGTCTCTGTGATTAAGATGCTTCAAAAGACTCTTTGGGTAAGCATTGTTGGTAATCTCTGGTGGCCATGGCAACACCAGCACCACTTTAGAATCAGGGTAGCTTTATTTCTGCTTTAATCACTTCTACTGGCAATTGGGAAATAAAAAAATGGAAAAAAGGATGAAGAATTCAGATTTAAATGAAAAACAGAAAAAATTATTTTCATTTGAGGTGTTGTCCTCTTTTTTAGATTCTTTTTACCTGAATTAGAATAATAATAATTATTTTAGTAATAATAATGACTATCAATCACATAATCGAGCATATGTTATGTAAATATCAGACCAAGAAGATTGCAAAAGTGTGTAAGGAAGGTGTTCCACCAGGAACTATGCAAACAATTGTATTTTGACCATACAGACCAATGGCAAATGCCGAATAACAGAATCTGTTAAATGGAATGAAACACATAGCAAGAGATTATAGTAGTTTGATCCAGAAAGCAATCAAAAATAGATGTGGGTGATTGGGGAAGATGTTTCACAGGGAACTGTGCAAGTAACTATTTTGACCAAACAAACCAATGGTAAATGCAGAGAAAATAATCAGTCCAAGTGAATGAAATGCATGATAAGCCCATAAAGCATAGAAGAATAGGCATGACTGGGTAGGAATGTTGACGCAACTAGAAACTATGCAAGTGACTGCATTTTGACCATACAGACCAATGGTATATGCGCAAACTATAATCAGTCAAAACGAATGAAATGCATAAGATAATGTAATAATTCAGCCCATAAAACATAGAATAATAGGCATGGATGGGTAGGAATGTTGAAGCAACTAGAAACTATGCAAGTGACTGCATTTTGACCATATAGACCAATGATATGCTGGGTAACATGAACAAAAATCCTTCCTAATGTATGGCAATCCCATTGTGTAGTCAATGTGGTGTACTGCCAAATTTTCCTTCTTACCTGAAGAATGTGCCTGATTTTATGGAGCCTAAAACTTTAGCAGTTGGCTAGCAAAGGAATCATTTACATAGCTAACACTGCTCAGCTCACCATCCTGACTATTTGATGGGAAAGCAAGTAGACACTTTCTTTATAACTTGATATGCGGGCTCTTGTTTTGGGAGGGTAGCCACAAGATGTCTTTTTGCAGAGACAACACACTAAGTGTCGTCTCACTGACCGATGGAGGCATGTACCATTATCTGTAGTGATTGGCTGCTCTGCCTGCATATTGTTTCTACTATAATCCATGAGGAAAAATTTGACATTCACTCGATATACTGAGATGAGAGAAAAAGAAAAACAGTAGTTAACCTATCTAATGAGATTGTATAAATGTTTGATAGAACACAGTGTGGGTGGGATAGTAAAATGACAAATATTGCTAAGAGCTACAAAGGATAGGAAGTTGCAAAGAGCCATGATTGCCAACATAGAAGAAAAAGATGTAGTGTTTACCTTTCTACATCCAGATGTAGCTTTGTAGCCTAACTGGCAAGGCAGCTGACCTGGGCAAGTAGGTTTACACCTTTTTACAAATTAATTGAAACAAGATGAATATTTACTTCTTTTATGTTTTTCCAATGAAACATGACACAGTACACATGTTGGTATTTCATGTGTTCATTCCACAAAGTCATTCCTTGCAGACTGACCACAGATTCTCGATTGGATTTAAATCAAGAGAATTTCTGGGCTAGTCTATAGTACATTGATTTGCTCACTCTTAAGGCTTGTGAGTGTGTTTGTGCAGCATTACAATTTTTGTACACTTCCTTGGAGTAACATCTATTGCAGACAATGGTCATAGGACAACTAACTGATAGTCAAGACAATAGTGTTTGAGTGTAATAAAAATCTGATGCAATCACGGATGACACAATATTTTTCAAGGCCAAACAAATTCCATCATACACCTCAAAAATAGATTCATATTACTGTATACCACTACAAATAACCTAATCTGAGGAAAAACTAGAAATCGATTACACCCTGTCACTCCAGTGGGTCTAAAACTGACTGTATGGTGAAAGAAAGGAAACTAAAGTAGTTGTTTTAATTTTGACAAAGGTGTACATTGGATAAGGCCTGTGGGTGCATATTATTTTTTTTATTATTATGAATTTTTTTCTTTTTAATTTAAATTTTTTCTCCTTAATTTTTAAATTCGCTTTTTGTAGTAATACAATAAGCACAACCTAACATTTCTTACACTTGTAACCATCTATTATGATAAAATAAACGTTTTCAGCACTAAATTAGTCAAATAAAATTTCATTAGATTCTACTTAGTGTTGGTGCTATATTACACTTTTTATATAAAATCCCAAATAATCCTTATAGTCTTCTTAATAAAAAGAATTGATAGGAAAATCCTCAGTGAGGTTCAGTGTCATCTTTTATTTTTTTTATTATCTCCATCCTTGTTGTTTTTATCACAATGTTCCAAATCAAGGTAACTGATAAACCAGAGTTGACAATAGATTCAATGTTGCTGCCATATCTGATCTGGTACTTTTGCTATATATCTAGATATTCTTAGAAAATCCAAAGAATCTGCAATATTACTGACCTGGCATCTCATCATCAGCCATTTTTCCCCCACAAGTGTAACATAGATTTCCTCTGTTTTTATATATATTTATTGTAATTGTTCTGATGAGCTTTCCCCTTTATGACCTTAACTTCATGAATTTAAGCATAGTACGAAATTGTTAGCCCATTACTGCTGAAATTACTGTAAGCGTAAGTTCTTTGCTAATAGTTCTTTTGCCCACATTTCTTGCCTGTGGAAATCTGTTCCAGCTTCTTGCTTTGCTGTCATCTATGATCTTCAAAAATGTAAATGCAACATCAAAAATCATATTCTATCTTCTTGAATCAATGTTTTTAATATCCTGATATTTTTTCAGTTTTTTCCCCTCTAAGTAAAGCACTTGCATCTTAGTGGCTTTATCACCTTTCCTCGAGTGAAAGAATAAAAAAATTAAAAAAAAAAAAAAATTAGAAAAACTCAGAATATGATAAAACCAGAAAAGATAATGATAATAGTTTGAATAATTTGTTCAGAAATTTGGGGTTTATGGCCATATCATGTTGAAACACCAGTTCCTGTATGATAACTGAAGTTAAGCAATGTCAAGTCTGGTCTCTACCTAGATGGGTGACCACTTAGGAATACTAGGTGCTGCAAGCTTGGATATGCAGGTGGTGGAATGAATAATGGCTTGGAATTGGAAATCAAATAGTCAAGTTTCAATTCTAGTCAGGTTCATCAGCTTCGCTTATTGGCAAATACACTTGGGGGACTTTACAGTCATATCAAATTGAAACACCAGTCCCTGTATGATCACTGAAGTTAAGCAATGTCAAGCCTGGGTTGTAACTAGATGGGTGACTGCATGGGAATGGTGCTGTAAGCTTGGTTGTATGTGTAATGTAATGGATGATGGCTCAGAATTGTTAATCAAAGAGCCGAATACCAATTTCATTTTGGTTCATTATATTCCTGTGTATAATGAATGGATAGCTGCAGCAAAACACTGCAAGGAGAGACTTCACTGATGCAATGCTCAAATGATAAAGAGGTATAATAGATATACCCTTAACCTATGTCTGCTACAGGGTGGTGATAGAGTAGCTATCCAAAATCCATTCAACCACCAGTGGAACGCTATAGGTAAAATCATTACTATCCTTTCAAATCATCCATACCAAATTAGATTTGATGGATCAGGAAGGATCACATTTGGAAATTGCTGTTTTTAAAAAAAATGGGCAATCAAAGCCATGACCACCCCCACGCTAAGAGCAATGCCCAAGACCCACCATTAATGTTTCAGTCACGCACTCAGTAATGCTGCTCATGCAGCAATTGGATGCCCTCACAGAGGGCACATATATATTAAAATGCCCTAGGGTATCAAAAATTCCTTCGTATAATAGTAGGCCTTAAGAAACTGCACACTCTTTATTGAGCCTTGCCTGCACAGTGGGGGAGAGGGGAGATGTAGAATCAATGTGATACTCACTTTCAAAGGAAGGTTCCAAACTAGTGTCCAGTTGGCAGACTGGAGTGAGCTGTAATTCAACACAGCTTGAGATTTACTTGACCCTTGAGTCGGGTTGTGACACAAGGTCGATTTTCTACTTGGGCTGCTAGTCTAAGATGGTCTTCTACATGCAAATGTCCTTGGGAAATGTACGACTCCACCTCTTCTCCCCCAGCTATTGGTTAATTAGTAAGACTTGTATCACTAAATAATTATCATCTCAAATCTTACAATCTAAGTATATATTTGGCTTTTAATAACCTGGAAAGAGGTTGATAAACTGTAAAAAAGAATCAATCAATAATTTAGGCTGGCAGATTTAGCATGAATAAATTTTGTGAATTCATATTTCTTTATTATTTGTATTTTTGTCCAGCTTATTGGTTGTTAATAGTTGACTTTGCATTTATTGGATATCAAGTTACCCCCCACACCCATAAAAGACTTAGGTATTCAGTACTTTTTCTGATTGTGCTGTGCCAAGCAAAGTGACCTTCTGCAACACATAAAAACTATTTGTAAATCTAATCCTTTCAGCCAATTAGGCAAAATTCTCTGAAACAGTTACCATCGAGAGAATCTCTACTTTTTGGCAATTCCATATTCTTCTCTTTATACCTCTACACTTTTGTCATTCCTTTTTAATGACTCTGGTATCAAATGGTCAAATGACCATCAATAATGCTGGGAGCAAAAAATAGAAAGAGACAAGGATGTGTCTTCTTGCCAGATTTATTCAAACTCTACAGTGAAGCTACCTAAAGGAAATGGAGACTATGACAGTATTTATTATCGGTGAGCATAATCTTAACAATAAAAGATATGCAGATGATGCTGTGTTGATGGCCGACTTGGAAGGAAAACTACAGGACCGCCTAGGCAGGGTGATAGAAGAAAGCAAGAAAAAAGGACTATCAATTGCAAGAAGACAAAGTAAGGTTGCCATCAAGTAAAAAACACCAAGATGCAAGTTCAAAATTAGAGATATAAACATCAAGCAAGTACAGAAGTTTAAATATCTGGGAAGTATTTTAACCGTATGACACAAGATCCAAACAAGCATTGGACTAGAGAAGGAAGCACTTGAAAAGCTAAGCAAGGTACTGAAAAATGTAAAAATGTAATTAGAAACAAAGAGCAAGATTGCTATGTGATATCCATCCTCTTACATGACAGTGAATGTTTGACAATCTCCCACCGCCAGATGAGAAAAATACTAGATGCAACAGAACTGTGGTTATACAGAAGAATTCTGAAAATTCTATAAATGGAGCAAGTAAGCGAGAAAGAATTCTTAAAGAAAATGGCAACAAAAAGAACACATACTCTTTCTTTCTTTCTTTCCATGTGCTGTGTCCTTTCAGGACATAGGCAATCATGGCTCTCCACTTCCTCCTATCACTTGCAGCTCTCAACAAGTTCCTTTCCTCTACCAACTCCCTAGACCACGTTCTCTCATCCACTTGCTTAAAGCCACTAGGTATGTCATGCATTTTCCTTTGTCATGCTTTACCTCTATTCAACTTGTGAGTATCAGATTCTCCAGGCCCTCCTTCCTCGTTATGTGTCCCAGTAACTTCAGCCGCCTCTTTCTGATGTTAAGTATAAGCCTCCACTTTGTTTGCTTTCTCTCTAAGACTTCATCGTTGCTCACACACTCGGTCCATAATATCCATAGCATCCTTCTGTAGAACCATATCTCCGTCACCTTGAATCTCTTCTTCATCTTTAAGGAAATTGTCCAACATTTGCTGCCGTAAAGAAAGACAGATGTCACATAACAGCTCAGTACTCTTTCCTTCATTACCAAAGAAATCCTCCTGTCTCGCAATACTCTGCACAGCTTTTGGAATGTGTCCTTGACCATCCCAATACATCTATGGATCTCAGTGTCACATTTACTGTCCTCTGTCAGAATGTTCCCCAGATATTTAAACTTCCATGTCTGGATGTTCCGAACTTGCAAATCACATTTCGGGCCCATCCTTTTACTGATGACCATACATTCTGTTTTCTTGTATTTTATGCTTAGTCCTTTCTTCATACTCTCCATTGCTACCTTCTGTAGGAGATTTTGTATTTTCTTTTCCATGTCTGCTATCAATACTGTGTCATCTGTGTATCTTATGTTGTTAAGATTATGGCTTCCAAATCCTGTTAGTGTTTCCAATTCTCTCAAAATTGTCTCGCTGTCTAGGTTGAACAGGTCGGGTGAGAAGACACATCCTTGCCTTATGCCTCTTTCTATTTTTGTATATTCGCTGTTTGATGCTAGTATAATTTCTTGATTATTTTGATATCGTTCCCGAATATATCAAGATTGCTGAGCAATTCCAACAGAGCCTTGTGGCATACTTTGTCAAAGGCCTTTGCATAGTCTATGAAACATATATACACATCCTTCTGCATTTGTATCGCTCTTTCTGATAACATTCTGAGTGTGAATATTGTGTCATACCAGAAGACCTCAGCAGGCCTAAGAAACCAGATGCAAATGAATGTGTACTCCACCAAACAATAAACCTAATGAGCCATGTGACAAAACTCATCATCTGTATTCTGATGAATAGAGTGCACAGCAGAATCAGGCAAGAGATAGGATGAGAACAGTGCAGGTTCGTTAAAGACACTGAAACAATGAACACAATATTCATGCTCACTTATACTTAGAATTAGGAAAAGACAGCTGAAATCCCTTGTACATATGTGGAAGGAGAAAAACTGCTAAGAGCTACAAGGGATAGAAAGTTGTCAATGCCACGATTGCTAGTGTCCCAAAGAAATGCAGCATATAAAAGAAGAAGAAGAAGAAATTGATTAATTAATGAAACATGTTCTAAAAAATGTGCCTGCTATAATTTTAATCTGCCAGATCTTAATTTATATACATTTTCAAAGTTTTGCTTCACAATTGCAACATATCAAATATCTGGAGTAGTCAGGGAAGCTTAAATTTACTCTGAGGGACACTTAATATTTTCTAGTAGCAAATGGCAAGTATGTGAGAATGGATGGTTGAACATGGGGTGGGAGTCTTAGTAAAGGAAGGAAACTACTAACAGCCCTATGACAGAGAAAATTTTTGAAAGCCATGATCACCTATGTCCTGAAGTGACACAAAGAAGAAAAAGGAAATGAACTTATATATACTTATCACCCCACCCCAACACTGAAAAGACTGATTCATGATAAAGGACTGTTCTCTAAAGAAGTCTTCTTGCCTTGAATGTCTGTTGGAACTTAGGTTCACCCCAGACCCAGGATGAAACTTATAAAGGATGTTTCATTAATAAGGATTATATATAAGGGTGTTTCATTAAGACGGATCAAAGTCAGCAGTAAATAAATCAGTGTTATTAGTGAAAATTTATTTATTTCTCTATTGGATGATGTCATTTAAGTCATGGCAATTATGTGTGAAAAATAATATCACCCAAATGCCCACCAAATTTGAAAGGAAAAGAAAAAAATCTTTAGATGCTTAAACTTAATTCACATTTAAAATTGGTCCAAATTATTGGAACACCCTTTATATACAAAACAATGGATAATTGTTGCCATATCTGGGATGAAGTTCTGGAAAATACTTGACTCCTACTTTGCTTTATCTTTGCAAGAGTTAGATTAGATAAAAATGGATGTCTGTCTATATCTCTGAGAGGAGGTATTATGATAACTTGCATTATTTACATTATTTGGACTGTTTTCCTCATCTTCATTGCCATATTCACAATGTTTCGGCCATTGCACACTCTGACCTTCTTCAAATGATTGAAATTTTGAACTGAACCTTTTATTCCATCCACCAGGGTAGTCTGTTCTAGTTCCACATGCCATGCCTCTTCCAGATATCTGTTATTTCCCTTTAACTCAACTCTCCAAGTTTTAGTTCAAAGACACATGGTGCAGTGGATAAAGACATTGGTTAGATCTAGTGACTAGACTCAAAGAGTTGTGAGTTCAATAGCAGGCTACAGCAGTGGTGAACCAAAAAATAGCTCTTTCCACAGGATATTGTTGTTTCTTTAAAGATGGTTGTTTTTATTATTATTTCCTTGGGTTTCTGTTGTAGACACATTTCCTTAGCCGAGATCTAAGGTCAGAAATGGATTCATGACATCTTTCACAAATCATATTTTTGTAAAAAAAAAAAAAAAAAACTTAAGATCACATACTTTTTACATAGATAAAGTTCTTTTTAATGTGTGAGCTTTACTTGTGAGTACAAGGCATGGGATACCAGGATTCCCTTTAATGATTCTATTGGAACCTTTTCCAATCAATCCAAGGACTCCAACTACATTAGGAATTATTGATGTCCCCATGTGCCACACTTTTTTATCTTCAAGATCCTTGTATTTTGATA